CTCTATCTCTCTGCCTTCCTCTCTATAAAAAAATCAATAAAAATATATTTTTTAAAAAGAACTAAATGAAATGGAAACAAGAAAACTACTAGATACAGGACAATGTGGGGGTCATTTATAATATTCTCAAAAGTAAAGATTTTTTAGAAAGAGAGAGAGATTGCTCAAAACATACTGAAAAAACAAAATGTAAAACCTAGTCTTCCTTAAGTGAAATAAATATGTAACTTTTCATAAAGTCATAGAGTTCTTAATAACTTTTAAGAACTTTTTGATTGATATAATAGTCCATAGCAATCAAGGTGAATCCAACATTTCTTTTCCACTAAAAAGACATTAAGCATGTAACTCAGATAAGATATTCTTCGAAGAGTTCTGAAACACTAAGTGTCATGTGCCCAAAAATAGTTACAGAATTCCATTATGAGGAGACTTACATAAGAAAGGTTTGAGAAAGAGAACCTATTAGCCCCTCTCCCTCTTTCGTCAATGTCCTAGCCTGCAACCGACTCAACAAGTAACACAACTGGTCATAGTACAACTTTCGAGGTTCTTTGGGCATTGGTAAGAATCCGTTGCCTTCGTTTCTGTAACTAATTCAAAATAAAAACAATACTGACTTGTAGTTTCTGGTAACAGTGGGCTAGATTATTTATGCTAGTCCTGCTGCTAGATAAAATAACTTAAAGCCTTCATAAAAGAATAAAACAGGAAAAATAGGAATCCCCAGGCCAAAACTAAAGGGAGACAGACACCCAGAAAGAAAACAATTGAAGCCAGAGGACAGCAGAATTTCATCATCAAAATTCTGGCAAACTGGAACTCTGCCAACAAGAATACCTTTCAAGCCCGGCCAGTGTAACTCAGTGGTTGAGAGTCATCGGCCTATGAACCAGAAGGTCAGGGTTCAATTCCCAGTTAGGGCACATGCCTGTGTTGCAGGCTCGATCCCTAGTAAGGGTCATAGAGGAGGCAGTCGATCAATGATTCTCTTTCCTCATTGATGTTTCTTTCTCTCTCTCCCTCTCCTTTCTCTCTGAAATCAATAAAAATATATTTTAAAAAAAGACACCCTAGTCAGTTTTGCTCAGTGGATAGAGCATCGACTTGTGGAATGAAGAGTCCCAGGTTTGATTCCAGTCAAGGCCATGTATCCTAGTTGCAGGCACATCCCCAGTAGAAGGTGTGCAGGAAGCAGCCGATCCATGTTTCTCTCTCATTGATGTTTCTATCTCTATCCTTCTCCCTTCCTCTCTATAAAAAATAAATAAAAATATATATTTTTTTAAAATACCAACAGCAAACAACACCCTTAGTGGTGAGTTGTTGAAGCTTTTCCCTCTGAGATCAAACAAAGATGCCCAGTTCCAGCATTTCTGTCAACCCCACACCAGAGGGCCTACGCAACAGCGTAAGGAAGTAAAAGAAATAAAGTTTAGAATGTTGAAAAGAATGAAACAAAACTGTCACTTTTTTCAGACTAACTGTGAATATAGAAAAATCCAAAAGAAACTAAAAATAAATTACAGTTAATAGTTCATGGTTTTGCAGGTACAAAAGCAATATAAGGATATGCCCTCTAATTTTCCAAATAATATATTTTTAAAAGATATGTTCAAGAGTGAAAATACTTATAATCCCAATCAAAATCCCAAAAGTTTATTTTTCTGACGGGTTGACAAGCTACTTCCAATATTTATACAGAAATGTAAACGACCAAGAACAAGGAGGGAAGACTTGTTCTACCTGAGATCAAGACTTTTCCTAAAGCTACAGAAATGAGATTGTGTGATGATGCTGCAGAAAACACAGATAAATGAAAAGCAGACAGAGCCGAGACCGGATTGGCTCAGTGGTAGAGCATTGGTCTGAGGACTGAAGGGTCCCAGGTTCGATTCCGGTCAAGGGCATATACCTTGGTTGTGGGCACATACTCGGTAGGGGGGTGTGCAAGAGGCAGCTGGTCGATGATTCTCTCTCATTGATGTTTCTAGCTCTCTATCTCTCTCCCTTCCTCTCTGTAAAAAAAAAATCAAAAAAAAAAAAAAATCAATAAAATATATTTTAAAAAGAAAAGCAGACAGAGCCCGGAAACAAGCCTGTGCACACAGGAATGACAGTGCCATCATGCAAGTGGCACAGTATTAAGGACAGACTTTTCAACTGAGTCTGTGACAACTGATTGCCTCACGCCATCCACAAAACACCAACTCCAAGCAGATTAAAAACCCAATTCTGAAAAACGATATGCCATTTATCTAGAAAAATATCTTTAGAGCCTCATAGCAGAGCAGGATTTTTTAAATTAGAAAAACAGTGATCAGTCATAAAGGAAAAGGCTGGTAAAATTTAGCTATTTTAATATTAAGATTCCTTTTAGTAACAGGAAATACAACATAAAAGGGGAAAAGAAAGATATGCCCACAGTGAAAATGTATTTGTAATACTGTATATAACTAACAAAAGGACTATCATTAATATATTTTTTATAACTTCTCCACAAATCAGTAAGAATAAGACATCTACCCAATAGAAAAACAGGCAAAGTCTTGAACAAGTACTTCACAAAAGAGGATATCCAAACGGGCATTATAAGATGAGAAGCCACACGACCTCACTAATAACCAGGGAAATGCAAATAAAAGCCGAGAAGATGTTATTACACACCTACCAGGTCAGCACAGTTTAAAATGACTGACACGTCAAGAATGGGCAAGAAGGAGGAGCAACAGGAGTGCACGTCTGTCAGGAGTGTAAACTGGTACAACCACTTGGGAGAACAGCTGGACATTGCCTATTCAAGTTGAAGATGAGTGCACAGAGCCAGCTAGCTATTCCACTTCTTGATGCAGCTCCCAGAAAAACGCATGCACACTTGCTGTTTTGGAATGAGATTCAGATTTTAAAGCCCTGACTCCCAGGTGACAGGATTTGCAGATAGGACATTTAAGGAGGTAACTAAGGTTAAAGGTCATGAGGGCGGAGCCCTAGGCCACTAGGACCAGTGTGGTTGTAAGAGGATGAGTCCCCAGGCGTGCCCGCACACAGAGTGAAGGCCACGTGAGGACACAGCTGCCCACAAGCCACCGACAAGCACCTTGCCCCTGAACTTCCTGTCTCCGGACTGTGAGAAAGTAAATGTCCGTTGTCTGTGATGCTCTGTTATGGGACTGCTAGCTAAAAGATCCAACTATAAGTATGTTGGAAACAGTACTTTTTATTTTTCTAGCTCCCAAACCAGAAACAACCTAAATTCCCTTAAGCAGGAAAACAGACAAGTAAATAAAAGGACACAGCCAGAGACAGGGTGGATAAATCTTACCATTATCATCATCAGACCCAAGATACAAAAGAGCACATGGGGCTTAATTCCCTTAATATAATGCTCAAAAATAGGCAAGACGAAACTACATAACTCAGGGATGCATACAAATTTAGAAAAATTACCCCCCAAAAAGCAAGATAATTATTATTACAAAAGTCAGAAGAGTTTTTGGTAAGGAGGATTCTGGGATCCCAACTCACGACCTCAGTCATGATTACAAGGGTAATTACTTATTCAACTTATTCGCATACAATGCCTTTTCCCTATGTACAGACCCTTATTTCAGAATTTTTAAATGTTTAAAGTGTTTGACAATTATCGTATATCATAAACCAAGTGTAAGCAAGCCCAATAATATTCTGGTTTTTCCTATAATGACTGGCCTAGTATCCTCTGAATACTTCAGTATGTTGTTTTTCTCTTTTGGTGATGTCCCCGATGACTGGTGCTGTACCTCAGCCTGATGAATAACCCAGTGCTAGCCGCCAGCATTTTCCCAGGCCTCAGAGACACAACATGAACAAGCCATGGGAGTTTCTAACCGTAAGGAAATGACCATCTAATTTAGCCTTAAGCCTCCCCAAATTCAAAATGTCATCATAACCCATTACATGCCCCCTGTGCTGAGGACTGCTCTAAGGATTTAATGTCTGAGTGAATGCCTGGCACCCTGCATCTGTCCACCAAGTTCCATTCCACATCCCAGGAAGAAAAGGCAAATCTCGTATTTCTAGTTCCACCATGGACAAAACTGCGTTATTTCTGTATATATCAAATTGTATTCTTCATTCCACTCATAGCTTTTGTCAATCCATGCTAAAAATGAAAACTTAAAACAGGGATCAACAAACTAGGACCCAAGAGCCAAATCCCACCCATCTCTCTTGTTTATGTAAATAAAGTTTTATTAGAACACAGCTATATTGATTCATTTATATACCTTCTATGGCTGCTTCCATGGCATAGTGGTACAGCTGAGCAGTTGCAACAGAGATGGTCTGGGCCACAAAGCCCAAATATTTATGATCTGGTCCTTTATGTATTATCTGATACCGGACTTTGCCATTTCAGAAGACACAGCATTTATTAAAAGTCAAGTGCTAAGCACTCACTTCTACCATTATTATGTTACAATAATGGACAACTGAATATATAAAATCTTAATTAAGGAGCTTCTACCTAATGTAAGCAGGAAGCATCATGTACACAGAAATGGACATGTACTCTAAGATCAATTTGTATTTATGTGCGAGAAGCCACTGCTTGCCAATACTGTCACAAGTATACCAAGGAATGCGGAAGGCCGATGGACCTTGGGCATTAGCAAGGCTAATTGTTCATGTTGAGATAGTGGTGGCTCAAGGCAATTCTCTAACCTGATAATTCTTTTACTCTTTTCCAAACTTCACCTTTGATATTCCTGTATGCATTACTAGAGAGCAAGATGTGTATCTAAAACTGAATAAAAAGCAGGCGGGCAGGAGTCTTGGTGTGTCTCTTCAAGAAAGAAGCTCCACCTGGTCCCCAAGGCCTTCTAAATTCATATTTCGTGTATAGTGTTTTCATTTGTGCAACGACTCCACTTTCAGATCCTGAACCCTGCTGCAAAGGTCATGGCAATTATGTAATATTTTCACATCTTCCATCATAGCTATATATCCTTTTACTCACATACCTTTATAGGAATTTTCTTGTCAAAATCAGGAAAGTGAATTATTTTATTTAGCTTGGACACATACAGTATCATTATGGTAGCTGCCATCTAAAAAAGGGAGAAAAGAAACTTCAGCAAAAAATATGTGGACTGTTTTGGGTACAAAGACATCAGAAGAAAACCAATTCATCAAAAAGCAATATATCTGCCATAGCTGGTTTGCTCAGTGCACTAACCTGCAGACTGAAGTGTTCCAGTTTCCATTCCAGTCAGGGGCACATGCCTAGGTTGCGGGCTTGATTCCCAGTAGGGGGCAGGAGGCAGCCAATCAGTGATTCTCTCTCATCATTGATGTTTCTGTATCTCTCTCCCTCTCCCTTCATCTCTGAAATCAATAAAAATATAGTTTTTTAAGAGGACAGGAGAGAACCATTGATCAGCTGCCTCCTGCATGCCCCCTACTGGGGATCAGGCCCAAAACCCAGTTCATCTGTGCCTTTGACCAGAATTGAACCTCGAAGTGCTGCAGGCCCTTGCTCTATCCACTGAGCCAAACCAGCTAGGACTAGGATGCAAAAATGTAAAGACTCCTTCAACATGATCATAATCCTAAACCTTGATCCCAATAAGTTTACAAACTTAATGGGACCCATGCTAAATTATAACTGAGGTTTATATTTATGACTTACTTTATAATTCTTGCAGAAACATACTAACACTTATTTAAAATATTCTGTAATTCAGACTTTTAAAAATAGGTCTGCTGGCCTCTTCCCCCAACAGATTAAAAATCAAAAGGACTTTACCTTGAGTACAGCAGTGATTATATTTGCCTCAGGGATTTCCAAGGACAGTTCATCACTAATCTTTTAAATGCTTTTCTCTACGTATTTTCACAATGAAACATAAAGATAACTTTTTTTTTTTTTTACCTTAAGGAAATATATTGTTTGTTATTTTTGTCTCCCTAACATGATGTTTCAAAGAGTACCTTATTAGTAAAACACGTAATCAGAACAATGTTAATCATATAAATGACAGCTTTTCCAGATTCACAATTATAGTTAGCAAGATATAATTTCCATAATTTTAAATTTTTCTCCCTATAAATTAAAACAAAGCAAGACAAATAAAATCTCTGATGCCTGTTACACTTGTCTACTGGAAATCACCAGCCTATGACCACAAGAATAAACAATCCACAAATTAATATTAATGGAAAACTTCAGAAACAGCCAAGCACGTTAGTCTGAAAGATTTTCTCAACTTTATAGCTGAGAACAAAGATCACAAACCATAGGAAGTAAACATGTGTTTGGCCCACAGAGAGTTTTGTGAAATTGGAATCCATTGCTGGCATTTACAAATGGGAGATCTGATGTAAAAACTCAAATACCTGCTTCTCTTGAAAAAACTCTGGCGTTCTGATAATTAGAGCCTCGTGGGCCCCACTCACCTCCCCAACCCTCTTCCTGGCTAGCTCAGAGGCTGAACCTGAGCAGCAGGTGCACACCTCATGGTAACTACCGGTGGTTCCCGGCACCGGCCCCGCCTCCAGCCCAGTCCTTCTTACCCACCAGACAGACAGGGAGACTGCAGTCCTCTGGCCCCTTGTTTTAAAGTAATTACATTCCATTAAGGAAATTAAAACCAGTTCTTGTTTTTTCTACAAATACACTGTTCCTAAATTATAGAATGACATAAAATATGTGTTATTTCATATTGCTTCACCAAAAGTACCATGGTCAGGTGAATACATTTATAAACCGCAGTCTTAAATAAAAGCACTTAAAACTGCACCACGTGTAACCGACTAATTAAGAGGTTAATTCCACTTACCTGTCCAATTCCAAGTACAATTGGTGATGGGAAACTACAAAAAAAAAAAAAAAAAAAAAAAAAAAAAAAAAAAAAAAAAAGAAGAAGAAGAAGAAGAAATGATTTTAGCAACTCATAAAAATTTCAAAACAGTCTATAATACACAGTTATAGGTATTACTTAAAGTCTTCAACTTTATTTCCACCTTAGACGAAATCTTAACATCAAATCCTTCACTTTTTATCGGTTGGTTTCTCTTTTACTTTTTAAACTGATGGTTGTGAAACTTGGCAAACCTTGTTGCCCCGTGAGCTGGACTGTCATTATATTAACAAACAACATGATTATGTATATAGGAAGTCAAAAGAAAAATTTATCGAAGTAATGAATACTTGAGCAAGATTATTGGAGACAAGACCAACATATAATAAAAAATCTCTATACCAGAAAGATACAAAGAAAATGAAAATTTTAAAGATGTCAATAACATTAGCACCAACTAACACTAACTGGGTATTTTATGGTGCAAGGAATTATTTCTACATTCAAAGCCCAGTGAACGAAATTCGTGCACGAGGGGTGGGGGTGGCCCTCGGCCTGGCCTGTACCCTCTCCAATCTGGGACCCTTCGAAGGATAGCCTACCGCCAGTTTACAGGGATCCAGCCAAAACTGGCAGTTGGACTTCCCTTTCCCAATCCAGAACCACTGGCTCCTAACCGCTCACCTGCCTGCCTGCCTGCTGATTGCCCCTAACCACTCTACCTGCTGACCTGCTCGCCCCAACTGCCCCTGCCACCGGCCTCTCACCCCCAAATGCCCCCCTGCCAGCCTGATCACACCCAACTGCCTCTCTGTGCCACTGTACTTGCCCCCAACTGCCTCCCCTACCGGCCTGCTCACCCCTAACTGCCCCCATTGCTGGCCTGCTTCCCTCCCCACTGGCCTGCTCACTCCCAAATCCACCCTGCTGGTCTGCTTACCCCCAACGACCCCACACCCCACCAGCCTGATCACCCACAAGTTCTGTCCCATCCTAGCCTGATCGCCCACCACTGCCTCCCCTCTTGGCCTCTAACAGCCTCTACCTTGGCCCCGCCATCATGGCTTTGTCCAGAAGAACGTCTGGAAGGTCTCCTGGAAGGTCTTCCAGTCTAATTAGCATATGACCCTTTTATTAGTATAGATAGAGACCTGGTGCATGGGTGGGGCCAGCTGGTTTGCCCTGAAGGGTGTCCCAGGTCAGGGTAGGGGTTCCCTTGGGGTGTGGGACAGCCTGAGCGAGGGGCCTGTGGTAGTTTGCAAGCCATCCATGTCCCCATGGAATGAGGGTCCCTGCTGGATGGGCATGACCAGCCTGGGTGAGGGGCTGAGGGCTGTTTTCAGGCTGGCCACACCCTATTCAGAGTGGGGGTCCCCGCTGGGATGCCTGGTCAGCCTAGGTGAGGGGCTGATGGCTGTTTGCAAACTGGCCAAGCCTCCTAGCAGGCCCCTTACCCCAGGGGAGTGTGGCCAGCCTGGGTGAGGAGCTGATGGCTGTTTTCAGGCTGGCCATGCCCCTTGGCAATCCAGGTTCCCAGCCCCTCCTTTTTTTACTTTTATTTCTTTTTCAGTGCTTCCTTGAGCAGAGGCCAGGGCTGGCTGCAAGTAGGTATCTGGGATTTATTTATCTTCTGTAATTGAAACTTTGTCACCTTGAGCAGAGGCCAGGGCCAGCCAAGGTGGGCAGGAAGCTTGGCTTCCTCCATCACAGGGGGGACAACCCAAGCCTCCTGCTTGCTCCAGCTCGGTGGTCGCTGCCATCTTGGTTGGGTTAATTTGCATACTTGCTCCTGATTGGCTGGTGGGCGTAGTGGAGTGATGGTCAATTTGCATGTTTCTCTTTTATTAGCGTAGATTTTCAGGTACAAAATGATATTGGGAAGTTTGTTGTTTTATCGGCAGCAGACATCCGTGCACTTTTCTAACAGCCGGACAGGAGGTGGCACCTGCCTGGCCTGCACTAGACCCATCCTGTGAGGGCCACCCACTCAGCCCCAAGCCACACCCACAACCAGGCCCACACTGCAGGCCAGGATGGTGGTGTTTTGCACCCCAATTTGAGGTTAAGAAGGAAAAACAATCAGCAGAAGCAAACACTCTACAAAGTTTTGTTTGTCAGCAGTTTGGGAAAAGGGGTTCCGGACAGGGCTGACCCGTGTTCCAATGGCCCTGTGGAGAGGCCCTCACAGGCAGAGACCCTGAAGGAAAGTGGCCGGGATGCACTGATGTGAGGTTTTGTGTTCACTTTGCCCTCGGCCCCTTTTCCATCAGCATCCCCTGTCCTTCCCACAGAGCTTGAGGCCGAGGGCTCTCTCAGTCGTGCCCAGGGCCTGATTCAGACCGACCCGTCCACTCTCATAGTCCACAATGAATGACCTGTGGCTTTTCGGTGATTTCTGCCACCAGGCCCTTCTGCATCAGACCCAGGCCCCACGGGCCTGCTGGGTCCTTCCCACCCCTGGCTCTCCCAACTGCTCGGCTGAGAGAATGACCAGTGGCCCACTCCTCGGAAGTCTCCATGCCTCCTCCAGTCAGAGCTGAGAAGGCCTGCATGGGTGTGGCCGTGGCTCACACGCCCTCCTCCGCAGCCTTCCCTGTGGGATCTCCACCCAACTTGGGGCAGGCAGTTCTGGCAGCTTCCAGACCAGGAGAAGCAACGTTGCCTCTTCCCCCTGGGTGATGTTTGTTTTTTTTTAAACAAGGTCCTTCTTATGTCTTAGAAATACATATTGGAACATCTATAATGATATACACTGAATGGCCAGATAATTATGACCTCTGAATGCATAATAATCTGGCCACTCAGTGGTATCCCATATAATAAAAGGCTAATATGCAAATTGTCCCCTCGACCAGGAGTTCAAGCAGCAGGCAGGCCAGCCAACCGCACATTCCCCTCCCCTGGCCAAGCTGGTCAGACCCAACCCATACACGAATTCATGCACCGGGCCTTTAACACACACACACACACACACACACACACACACACACACACACACAGAGTGGCCACATTATTATGAGTTCAGAGGTCATAATAATCTGGCCACTCAGTGTATTTTTTTTTTTTTTTTTTTTTAGTAAAATATATTTTATTGATTTTGTACAGAGAGGAAGGGAGAAAGATAGAGAGTTAGAAACATCAATGAGAGAGAGTCATCGATCAGCTGCCTCTTGCACACCCTCTACTGGGGATATGCCCGCAACCAAGGTACATGCCCCTGACCAGAATCGAACCCGGGACCTTTCAGTCCCCAAGCTGATCTCTATCCATTGAGCCAAACCAGTTTCGGCCACTCAGTGTATTTTAAAGTTGTTTCCAAATAAGCTTGGAGGAAATGGTGGAATTGAGTGAAGGGATATAAATGCAACAAACCTGTTGAAAATGAGCGATGGCTACATAGTGACTCATTACATTGTTTTGGGTGGTTTTCCTTTTTAATAATATACCCAGGTATCTTACCTAACAATAGACAAACAAGTAAATTGACCGTACTGCCGCTACACTCACAGCCAATCAGAGTGTGTATGCAAATTAGAAGGCCAAAGATGGCAGCGGCCCAGCTCTCCAGGCGTGGAGTGGCCAGGCAGGGCAGGACACCTGCTATGAGAGGGAGGGCAGGGGTGAAGGGATCTACAGGAGCGGAATGCCACAGCGAAGACAAGACTGCAGACTCCAGAGTCTGTAGCGAAGTTGAAGACTTATATCTGCAGCAAAGATGAAGAAGGCAGACTCTGGCCGGAGTGAAGGCCTGGGTCCCGGGTGCCAAAGGGAAACCAGTGTTGGAAGCCAAGGGAAGGAAGGCCTATTGCACAAATCTCTTCGTGCAACAGGCCTCTCGTCCTACCTAATAAAGACAGAATATGCAAATTGACCATCACTCAGCAACCAAGATGGCAGCACCTACAGCCAATAAGAAGGAAATATGCAAATTGATGTGACAGAGATGGTGGTGGCCGCTCCGGGCCTCTGGGCAGCGTGCTCTCGCAGGCGTGGAATGGCTGGGGCAAGGTGGGACGCCTGCTATGTTGGGGGGGCGGAGGTAGAGGGAGCTACATGGGGGCGGCAGGGCCAGAGCAGAAGCGGAAGGTGGCTCTGGCCAGAGCGAAGGCAGAAGAAGACAGCCAGATTGAAGGCCTGGGTCCTAGGTGCTGGAGGGAAGCCAGTGCCGGCAGCCAGGGGAAGGAAGGCCTATTCTTGCACGAATCTTCATACATGGGGCCTCTAATAAATCTAATAAAAGATTTCTAAGAAACACCTCTACATATAAAACTATAAGCCAATATTTAAAAAGTAAGGAAGCCCTAAGTGAAGTTCTCCAATAGGAAACCCACTATTGTAGCAAGGACCATCATGCTCAAACCGAGCCACGCGATCAAGGCAATCTCTGCACCATCAGCAGGCGCTTTGAGGAAACTGACAAGCTGACTCGAGAGCTGAACAGAAAGGCAGGAAGCACAAAGATTGCCCCAAGACGATCTTGAAGAAGACATGGCTCTACTGGATGTCAGCATCCATTGTCAACTTACAAGAAATGAGACGGGTGCTATTTGGACAATGGCAGTCCAAAAGCCAATGGAAGAGAGCAGAGATAGGCAGACACAGACAAATACTGATTCTTTTTTTCTTTTTAAAAAAAATATATTTTATTGATTTTTTTACAGAGAGGAAGGGAGGGGGATAGAGAGTTAGAAACATCGATGAGAGAGAAACATCGATCAGCTGCTCCTGCACACCCCCTACTGGGGATGTGTCCGCAACCAAGGTACATGCCCTTGACCGGAATCGAACCCGGGACCCTTCAGTCTGCAGGCTGATGCTCTATCCACTAAGCCAAACCGGTTTCGGCCGCATACTGATTCTTGACAAAGGTGACAGTGCAGAGCAATGGGGAGAAGATGTCTTTCCACAAATGGCCCTGGGTCATGTAGATGCAGAATCCTGACCCCCACCTCATAGCGTTCTGAAGGCAGCCACCCCCTCACCGTGCTCACTCACTGTCCCACCCTTCACTGT